CCGATGCCGCTGGAAGGCCCATACCTGTTTTGAGGCCCTTGACGGGGAAGGTGGCCTGTGCCAAGAAGTTGGGGTCACTGAACATGTCCTCCTCGTACACCACGAAGCGCAGGAAGGCGAACTCGGGGTTGTTGATGTCGAAGACGAACTGCTTGAAGAGCCACACGGGGTTGAAGCCGTTGTCGGCTGTGGGGGACAGAGGGACGGGTCACAGCCGGGTCGGCCACACGGCCATCACCCCCACGTCCCCTCCAGGGCACGGCCAGGATCGTGCCGGTGTCCCCAGAGCGGGGATATCCCCCCTCCTGTCCCTCACCCACGACATCCGTCTTGTTCTTGCTGTTGTCGTACTCGGAGCCGCAAACCTCCACCTCCACGAAGGGGCACACGATGCTCCGGCCGTTCTTGGGCAGGTGCCGGGCGCCCAGGATCTGTGGGGGGAAATGGGAAGGGGCAGCAGGGTGAGGAGGGACCTCCAGGAACAACCAGCTCCACCTGGCTGAAACGCGTTAACACCCACTCCGAAACGGAAGGACCGAGTCCCCGCCTCGGCGGTGGCCGCCTCGAGGTGGTCCTCGCCCACTTGCCTGCAGCTGGACCGTGATGGGCTCCACGATCTTCAGGCTGTTCTTGTCGAAGGGGTCGAAGGTCTCGTCCCTCATGATGTCGGGCTGGAGGACGTACCCGCTGCGGCCCCCCAGCATGAAGAGCGCCTGGTTCAGCTGCATGGGCTTGTCTGCGGCCGTGGGACAGAGCAGGGCTCAGCCCTGGGGCTTGGGGGCCTCCCCGAGGTCCTTGGGAGGAGGGTCCTGCCTTGGCAAACCCAAGTGGGAGACCCCAAGCCTGGTTGGAGCAGGGATGAAGCCGGGCTTTGTACGAAGTGCCCGAGGATTGTATGGAGGTGTCCCCATCGGGATGAGGGAAAAGGATGGAGAGATCACCCAAACCACCTCCTGTGTCCCCATCAGGACCAAGGTTGGAGAGATCATCCAAACCCCCCTCCTTTGTCCCCATCAAGATGAGGGCAAAGGATGGAGAGATCATCCATCTCCTTTGTCTCCATCAGGATGAGGAAAAAGGTTGGAGAAATCATTCCAACCACCTCCAACAAGACCCAGGGAAGAGCCATGGGGGATGATGATCCCATCAGGATGAGGACAGAGGTTGGAGAGCTCATCCAAACCACTTCCTGTGTCCCCATCAGGATGAGGCCCAAGGCTGGAGGGATGACCCAAACCACCTCCACCAAGACCCAGGGCAGAGCCATGGGAGATGATGATCCCATCAGGATGAGGCCCAAGGTTAGAGAGCTCACCCAAACCACCTCCAACAAGACGACCCAGGCCAGAACCACCGGGGATAAAAACTCTGGGGTCGACCCACAGGGCCGATCCAAACACCCCCCCCCCACCGCAGATCGGGATTTACCGGGCGTCTGGAAGTTGAGGGCCACGAGTTGGCTCCCGCAGATCCACATGGGCAGGGGGTCGTAGTTGGAGGAGTCCAGGCGCTGGCCCTTGGGATAGATCCGGCTCAGCTGGCGCCGGTTGTACTGCAGGAATTTCTTGCCCTTGCTGCGGTTGGCGTATTTCTCCGCCTTGGTCTCCGGGAAGGACGACATGTCCCGGTAACACGCCTTGTCCGTGCCGATCTCTGGAATAGCCGAGGGGACCGTCAGGGGAGGACTTTGGATCCTCTTCCCGTGCTCATCCCGTCCCGGATCCCGCTCTCCCGGCTCTTACTGTCCTCATCGAACGGCACCGGGCGGCAGTAGACGACCAGCTCCGAGAGCTCCAGCGCGATCTTCTTCCTCCGCTCCATGATCTTCCCCTCCTGCATCTGCACCGGGAAAGCGGGAAAAGTTGCTCCCAGTTGCTCCCAGTGTGCGGGCCCAGCAGCTCCCAGTAACCCCCAGTAAGGTTCCGTTCACACCCGCTGTAATCCCAGTCTATCCCAGTGCAATCCCGGTGTGATCCCAGCTACTCCCAGTCACTTCCAGTATAATCCCAGTCACTCCCAGTATGATTTCAGTTGCCCCCAGCGTGGTCCCAGTTGCTCCGTGTCAACGCCATCATGATCCCAGTACGGTTCCAGTATGATCCTAGTCACTTCCAGTCTATCCCAGTACGGTTCCAGTATGATCCTAGTCACTTCCAGTCTATCCCAGTACGGTTCCAGTATGACCCTAGTCACTTCCAGTCTATCCCAGTATGGCTCCAGCATGATCCTAGGCACTTCCTACCACTCCTAGTATGATCCCAGGATGATCCCAGTCACTTCCAGTCACTCCTAGTACGATGTTGTTCCCGACATGGTCCCAGTTGCTCCGTGTCAATGCCATCATGATCCCAGTACGGTTCCAGTATGATTCTAGCCATTTCCCACCACTCCTAGTATGATCCCAGTCACTCCCAGTATGATTCCAGTTGCTCCCAACATGGTCCCAGTTGCTCCCTGTCAATGCCATCATGATCCCAGTATGACCCCAGTATGATCCCAGTCACTTCCCACCACTCCCAGTATGATCCCAGTATGATTCCAGTATGATCCCAGTCACTTCCAGTCACTGCCAGTATTATTCCAGTTGCTCCCAACATGGTCCCAGTTGCTCCCTGTCAACACCATCATGATCCCAGTATTATCCTAATCACAGTCATTCCCAGTATAACCCCAGTATGATCCCAGTCTTTTCCCACCACTCCCAGTATGATCCCAATCACTTGCAATCACTCCCAGTACAATCCCAGTCACTTCCAGTCACTCCCAGTATAATCCCAGAATGATCCCAGTCTTTTCCCATCACTCCCAGTATGATCCCAGTCACTTGCAGTCACTCCCAGTATGATCCCAGCTGCCTCCAGTGTGGTTCCACTTGCTCCCAGTATGATTCCAGTTACTCCCAGTATGGTCCCAGTTTGATCCCAGTCACTTCCAGTCACTCCCAGTGTGATCCCAGTATGATCCCAGTCACTTCCAGTCACTCCCAGTAGGATCCCAGCCACTTCCAGTCACTCCCAGTATGATCCCAGTTACTCCCAGTATGACCCCAGTATGATCCCACTCACTTCCCACCACTCCCAGTATGATCCCAGTATGATCCCAGTCACTTCCAGTCACTCCCAGTATGATCCCAGTCACTCCCAGTATGATCCCAGTATGATTCCAGTCACTCCCAGTCACTCCCAGTATGATTCCAGTCACTCCCAGTATGATCCCAGT